AATGCACCCTGAACAAATGATTACTTAGAAAAAAAAAAAAATAAGTGCTGGTGGGGGTGTGGTGAAAGAAGAACTCTTACACTGCTGGTGGAAATGTAAATTGGTCCACCCACTGTGGAGAACAATTTGGAGATTCCTCAAAAATCTACAAATAGAACTACCATATGATCCAGCAATTCCACCCCTGGGTATCTACCCAAAGGACAGAAGAATACTTAATCGGAAAAGTGCTTGCACATCAATGTTTATTGCAGCACTATTCACAATTGCTAAGTCATGAAAACAACCCAAATGCCCACGAACAGATGAATGGATAGAAAAAATGTGGCACATATACTCAATGGAATACTATTCAGCCATAAAAAAACTGGTTTTTGACAGGAAGTTAATGAATATGGAAGATTTACTGCTGAGTGAAGCAAGCCACGCTATGAAGGAGAGACATAGTATGTCCCCACTTAATATATACTGAGTGTCTGCACTCTATGACTGAAACTAATTGACTAACGGATATAGAAACACAGTATATGAATGTAAATAGCACTGGAAGAGGATGATCTGAGGAAGGACATTTAGAAGAAAAATGGGGAGGTAAAGCATTAATGGCACAAAGAAATGTGGTATTATCTGTTGAAGATATTTTGTAGTTTTATCAACTGTACTAGGAAGAAATATTCACCTGTTGAATATACATTTTGTAAGTCAAATAATGATGTGATTGAAAAGGAAATGAAGTGAAAAAAAATGTGCAGTGACTATTCTTTCTCTGACTAGGAGGTGAGGATACTGCAACTCTTTTTCCTTATTTACTAGCAATTTTGTCTTCAGATCTAAAAGAGATACAGCAGCTTGAAATAATTGAAGAGATGAAAAAATGTATAGAATACTAGAAATATTTAAAATATTAGCTTAAAGAAAATGCAAGCATGACACAATAAAATTTTGATTCCTTACATCTGACTTATCCAAATGTCTACAGCTCCCTCAACTCCCCTACACTCTTAATTTATTTATCCAACACAATATTTCTTAAAATGTTTTATACCATTTAAGTGAATAATTATTGAGCAGCATTCACAAAATCAAATTGTCTCAGACTTCAGCACCTGTGGAGAACAAATGTGAGTCATGTAGAGCAGTAGGCGCTATCTTAATGCTTGAGGATTCCATTTGTTTGGTGATCAGGGACAGAAAATCTATTCTCTCTACAATTCCTTATCAGATATTTCTGCCAGGAGGACTTTTATGGAGAGAGGAAAGTGTTTTCTTATACCAGGGCAGAGGCTGTTGCAGCTCTCATCTCCTTAGTATACAATCCTCCTTCCATTCTATTGACATCTATATCTTGGCCGACTGTGGGCCCTTGGTCTTTAGCTTTCCGTCCTTTGAACTAGCAAAAAAATATCCTCTGCTTGTCATGATTTTCTCTTTCAAGAGAGGGCCTATAGAATCCTGAGGACCTTGATTACCCAGTTGGTACACATGAAGGAGGTTGAGATGTGAGATTATCAGATTCCTAGTCACACTATCCCTGCTCTGATGTTCTCTGTGATATCCTAAACTGCTGCTCAGTCTGACCCAGTCAGTCCTATCTTACTTATTTTTTTTTTCTAGGTAACCTTCTGGTTTCTTCTTTCTTCATTCTGACCCTCACTTAGGCTTATGTCACTGTCTTGAAGCCTCCATTTCTTCGACTGCAAAATACAGTCAATAATAGTGTATGTCTCATGGGATTATGAAAAATGTTAAAAGAAATAATACAAGTAAAGGTGTTAATATACTGCCTGACACAATAATCATGAGTAATAAATATGATCTTTTATTGTATTATTATATTATATTTTTGTACTCCTACATATGTTTTAGTTTAACTGTCTCTGCACTACTACCATGGGAACGTCTTTAAAATGGAAGCTATATCTGTACCCTGCTCAGCATGATCAGAGATAGGGGAGTTACCATAAATAACTTGTTAAATGGCTACTGGATGACTTAACCTTTAGATAAGGAAAGCTTCACATTTTTCTGGTATTAACTCTAATTTTACCATCCTTAATGACAAATAAATGAAGTTTATGTATATGTGAGATCTCGTTTGATTTCATCTGTAGCTTCTCCCTCAAAAAATGTATATGGTAATGTCTTTGACTTGACTAACATGCATCATATTCATACTGGAACAAAGATGTTCAGTGATTAAATGTAAATTCGAAGTTAATTTTTAAAATGACAAAATTTACAAACTATCAGATCTGAGCCAAAATTACTGTGTTTTTCAATGTCGTAATCATAGGAGGAGTTTCCATTTATTGGTGTTTTTTTGAGGGTTTTTCCTGAAATTAACATCAAGTTTAATTCCATCATTGTCATAGAAGATTCTGGATATACTTTCTATGCCTTTGAATCTATAAAGACTGGTTCTGTACTCTATCATGTGGTCAGTCTTTGAGAGGGTACCATGTAGGACTGAGAAAAAATGTGTATTTTGTGGGTTTTGGGTGGAAAGTTCTATAGATGTCTGTCAAATCCATCTGGCCCTGTATTTCTTTGCTTGTTTTTTGTCTCATTGATCTGTCTAAAGGAGATAATGGGGTGTTGAGATATCCAACAATTAGAGTGTTATAGTCTATACTTTTATATCTAACAGTCTTTCCTTTACATATTTGGGTGCTCCTGAATTGGGTGCATAGATATTTATGAGCATTATGTCTTCTTGACAAATTAGCACTTTTACTGCTATGTAATGCCCTTCTTTGTCTATTCTTACAGTTTTTGTCTTAAAGCATATTTTGTCTGAAATCAGTATAGCAACTCCTGCTCTTTTTTTGATTTCCATTTGCATGGAATCTTTTTCCAGTCTTTCACTTTTAATCTGTGTATGTCTTTATCAATGAGATGGGTTTCTATTTTTTTTTATTTTTTTGGAGAGATTTTCACTATAGGGCGCGTGCACTCGCCAGACATACAGAGAGAGACATAGAGACAGAAAGCGAGAAATCACCTCCCAGGGGGGATGGTCACGCCGCAATCCCTTCTCCTCCATTCTCTTCTCGGGATCTTGCGCACGCACGCACGTGCGCCCGGCATGAATTTTAAGCAACGGGGTCCGGGACGCAAACCGCGGTCAACTACGTGGGAGTCCAGCAACATAGCCATTACACTAACTGCTGGTTCCCGAGATGGGTTTCTTGTAGGCAGTAGATGGAGGGTTTCTGGTTTTTTATCCATTCAGCCAGTCTCTGTCTCATGATAGTAAAAGGGAGAAATAGCACTGAATTATTTCACAGTAAAGGGAAACACAGAAGCTCACTGTTACATAATACTTCTCTGAGTAATAAGCCAAAAGTAAATACATTATCAAGTGACTAAAAATTGGAGAAAAACCACAAGGGTGAGAGAACCAAGTAATACGTCCACACCAAGGGAACACAGTGACTCCTCGCCAAGTAGGGAAAAATTAGAGAATATTACTGAAATGTCAGAAAAATAATTTAGAACATTTATGTTAAACAAAACTTTAAAAGAGAACAGAGACATTGAGATACAAGAAATGAGGAAGTTCTTCTGATATGAAAGAAGAACTGGACACCATAAAAAAGAATCAAACAGGGATTAGCAGATGGCATAATGACTATGTCACTGGACTCCTATGTAGTTGACCATGGTTCGAGTCCTGGACCCGGTGGCTTAAACTCATGCCAGCGCATTAGCCACTACGCCAACTGCTGGTCCCAAAAGATCTCAATTTGAAAAGCAATCCTGCACAAGAAGAGTGGAGTGGGTGATATCTCCCTACCTGACCTCAAAATATATTACAAAGCTGCAATAGTCAAAACAGCATAGTATCAGCACAAAAACAGACCTGAGAACCAATGGAACAGAGTCGAGACACCAAAAGTGAACCCCAAAACATACAGCTATCTGATCTTTGACAAAGGCTACTAGTCAATCCAGTGGTAAAAAGATAACATCTTTAGCAAATGGTGCTGGAAAGACTGGGTATCCACATGCAGAAAGGTGAATCTGAACCCTTATCTATCATCATTAACAAAAATCAACTCAAAGTTCATCAAAGAACTAAACCTAAGACCTCAAACTATAAAATTACTTGTGGAAAACACTGGGGAAACTCTGGGAGACACTGGGCTAGGCAAAGACTTCTTAAGCAACACCACCGCAAATGGTGCTGGAAAGACTGGGTATCCACATGCAGAAAGGTGAATCTGAACCCTTATCTATCATCATTAACAAAAATCAACTCAAAGTTCATCAAAGAACTAAACCTAAGACCTCAAACTATAAAATTACTTGTGGAAAACACTGGGGAAACTCTGGGAGACACTGGGCTAGGCAAAGACTTCTTAAGCAACACCACCAAAGCACAGGCAAAATCCCCAAAATAGACAAGTGGGATTACATCATATTAAGAAGTTTCCACACAGCAAAGGACATAGTAATTAGTGTGAATTGACAACCCTCAAAATGGGAGAAAATTTTTGTAAACTATGACTCAGAAAAGGGACTGCTAACCAGAATACACAGGGAACTCAAGCAGCTTACCTAAAAGAAAATGATTAACTCAATTAAAAGATGGGAAAATAAGCTGAATAAACAACTCTCTAAAGAAGACATACGAACAACCAAAAAGCATATGAAAAAATGCTCAATATCCCTAATCATAAGGGAGATACAGGTCAAAACTACAATGAGATACCACCTAACTCCAGTGAGAATGGCAAATATTAAAAATACAAAAAATGATAAGTGATGGTGGGGATGTGAAAGAGGAACTCTTCTACATTGTGGGTGGTCCAATCACTGTGGAAAATAATATGGAAATTCCTCAAAGACCTTCAAATAGAACTACCATACGATCCAGCAATCCCACTCCTGGATAACTATTCAAAGGACAGGAGAATGTTCAGTTGGAAAAGCACTTGCACATCTATATTTATTGTGGCATTATTCATGATTGCTAAGACATGGAACCAACCCAGATATCCACAAACAGATAAATGGACTGAAAAAAGTGTGGCTCATATACTCCATGAAATACTATTTAGCCATAAAAACAAAACAAGACAAAACAAAAGAACAAAATCCTGGAATTTGATAGAAAGTGGATGAATATGGAAGATTTGTTGCTGAGTGAAGCAAGTCAGGCTATGAAAGAGAGACATTGCATGTCTCCACTTAACATATACCAACTGCACTCTATGGTAGAGACTGAAAGATTAGAGGATATAAAAGCATTGAAAATTCTTACAGACATGAGGGACAAAGTGGAAGGAGAGTGGGAGAGGAAAAGAGTATAGGAAAGTACATTTGGGGAAAAATATAGAGGTAAAACATTTGTGGGATACAGATACGGTTTATTACCTGTTTATGATGATGTGTATAGTATTCTCAGCTGGGCTGGACTGAGGTGTATATCATGCTGGGTAAAGTCTCTTTACAATCTAATGATGTATAATGATTGAATGTATAAATAATAATTACAATAATTTTAAAAAGAGAAACACAAAAAACAGCAAAAAGAAGAAAGAAGAAAGGAGAAGAAGAAGAAGGAGGAGGAGAAAAGAAGAAGAAGAAGAAAAGGAGAAGAAAAGAAGAAAAGTTCCACCCCTATTCATGTATTGGCTCGGGAACTGGTTGTGCTAACCCTGCAGGCAGAGTGATTCCATGCCTGCAGCTTATTCAGGTAGAGGATGGAGGAGATGTTCTGGGTTCTTCCACAAGGAAATCTAAGATTCTAAAAGGCAGCTTTATCAGCTCCAGGTCAAGGGCTACTCTTTGAATATTAAACAAGAATAAGATATTCTCCTGATATTCTCCTTTCCTCATGCATGAACTCAATCATCCACTGCTCTTTAGCATTTGACTGTAGCTTAAGCCAGAGCAAATGTGTTGTTGTGCCCTAGAAGAGTGGATTGCCTTTGATTTGGGAATATAACCAATATGCTATGCTGCCCATAGTTACCACAATGCAAGAATGCCTGTTAAGCTCTGCTTTAAAGTTCATTTCTGATGGGAAAGGTAGGGGAAACTAATACTCATTACTCTTAACGAGTTGTAGTGTGAAGCCAAATGTATTACTGAATTAAACAAATGTTAGGTATTTTATAATTTATTTCATGTATATACAAGAAGAAACTGAGGGTCAGAGGAGTTACATAATTTGCCTGAGGGCATATAGTCATAACTCTGGTAAATATGGTTTATGATTGAGATTTTTTCACAAATACTCCTTTGGCTATATGTTCATTCTCAGAAGCATTTGTAATTCTTTTTTATTTTTAAATTTTGTTAGAGGTTTTTGTCTTAGGGCATGTGTACTTGCTGGAAAAAGAGAGACAGTGGGAGGAAAAGTGAGAAGTCACTCCCTGGGGGCATAGCCAGATTGCAATCCCTTCACCTCCATTCTCCTCCCAGGATCTGGGGTACACATGCACATGTGCCTGACATGAGTTTCAAGCTACTTGAGACTCAAACTGTGGGTGGCCATGTGGGAGTCCAGCTATGTAATTGCTACATCATCTGCTAGCCCATGTAATTTTGTTTATTCTTTAGGAAGTCCAGGGTAGAAAACAAAGAACTATGTGGCTCTTCACTGAATGTTGAAGAAGATGAAGATTATTTGGACTGACAAAACAAACCTTGAGTGACTGAACTGAGTAGAAATGACTTTCAGGGAAACAGGTAAATGAACATACTGAATGATAAAGTGACCAAATTCAGGGAAGTCAACGGAAGTTTCCAGACTATGGATCTTTTCTTTGTCTTTCTAATTTCCTACCTGGATTAAGTGTGTGTGTTGGTGAAAATTCACATTTGCAGTCCAAGAACTTCTTAGACAACTGGCCTGAAAGTAAACTGGTGAATAAATGTTATTATAGTCTAGAATGGTGTTCACTGTCCTTAAAATAATAAAATAAAGCCTCAAGTCCTAAGAGGAGTGGTTATATTCATAATTGATGATAGTTTCCTGGAGTTACAAAGGATATTATATGGTTTCTTCTTCAGATCCACCATCATGAGCACAAACAACAAAAGTATGAAATGAGCACTGAATAGGAAGAAAGGAAAGGAAAAGAGACACTACAAAATTCCAATCCTTCAGTGTTTCAATGCCATGGGAGGCTTGTAAGACAACATCTTTCAACAATTCATAAGAATAATTTCCAGGAAACAAGAGAAGAGGTTTGAATTTTGTTATTTCTGAATCGAATATGCAAGACCAAAAACTAATACTATAAACTCATAATTTATAATTTACCCTAAAGTTTTGCAAGGAAAAGAGAGAATAATGATACCAGAATTCAATTTAAGTCACCAAATATTTACTGATTCCATGCTGGGTCCACAATTTGGGGAGCCACATTTAGAGAGATGTGAATACATGTGATTTTTATAAAGGTAAAGAGCAAATGTCATTGCAATGAGACTGTTGCCCTGTTGAAGAGACTCTTCAAGGCCCCTTTCATATCCCTGTTCCTTAGGCTATAAATGAAGGGATTCAGCAATGGTGTGACCACTGTGTACATCACAGATGCAATTATGTTCTTGTTACTGGAAGTGCGGGAAGATGGGAAGAAATACAGTCCAATAATTGTGCCATAGTACAGAGATACTACAGAAAGGTGTGAACCACAGGTGGACAAGGCTTTGCAGATCCCCTCAGTAGAAGGAACCTTCAGGATGGTGGCCCCAATGCAGCCATAAGAGATCAAGATGCACATTAGTGGTAGAGTAATGACTGCCACTCCCACTGTAAAAATGACCAACTCATTGATAGAGGTGTCTGAGCAAGAGAGCTTGAGCAGAGCTGCAAGGTCACAGAAGAAATGAGGGATGATGTTGTCAGCACAAAAAGATAGCTGAGCCAGGAGTAGCGTGTGAGACAGGGCACTGGTACAGGAGAGGATCCAGGACACAATTACTAGTAAGCTACATAGTCCTTCTTTCATGATGCTGGTGTAGTGAAGAGGGTGACAGATGGCCACATATCGATCATATGCCATTGAGGTGAGAAGGAAATTGTCCAGATCAGTGAAAAATATGAAGAAATACATCTGTGCTACACACCCTGAATAGGGAATGGATTGATCCTGGGTTTGCATACTCATTAACATCTTTGGGACAGTGACAGATGAAAAGGAAATGTCAGTGAGGGCCAAGTGAGTAAGGAAGAAGTACATGGGGGTATGCAGACGGGAGTCCAGTTGGATGAGAAGGATGATGAGCAGGTTCCCCAGCACCGTGATCAAGTACATGCCCAGGAACAAAGCAAAGAATAGGCCCTGCTGCTCTGGCTGGATGGGGAGTCCCAGGAGGAAGAATTCAGACACACAGCTCTGGTTCCCCCTCCTCATACTGCTTCTCTCTCTGCTGGGAATAGAAGGATATTGAAAAGAAAAGAAACAAATGTCCAATTACAGCAAGAAGATAAAAATGAAATCCTTTCCACTGAGAAACATATATAGATATATATGCACTCACACACATTCAGTGTTTCTTTTTTTTTTTTTTTTTTTCAAATCCCTGGATCCGGGACTCAAACCACGCTGTCAGCCATGTGGGATCCAGCTGCCTTAGTCACTGCACCATCAGCTGGACCCATATATAGGCTCTCACTGAGACACATCCAGTCTTTGACTAATAATATCCCAGCCACTACATGCTGATAACTGGTATTTCCTTGACTGGGGTTGTATGCTATAAAAGCCCAAGCACAAGCTTTGGAGTCAGACAAAAGGGATTCAAAACACCTTTTAACCTTTTTTCAACTGTCTATCTTTGAGAGAAATATCACATCCCTTAGGGTTTCTGCTTTTCCTCCCTAAAATTGAGGTATCAATCCCTGAATGACAGTAAGAATATATAAGGAAATGTATGTAGAACATCTCACTCACAGGAGGTATGCCATGTTCAGTGACACTGTTTCCCATAATATAATATGAGAAAGACAGCAGGGCACTGGTAGTTTGGCTGGACTGACATGGAAATGTCCTGGGTTCCCACCCTGGGACTTCCCTAAGCATATCAGGAACATAGGTGTGCCTGTGATCTGGGCCAGCTGAGACTGGGAGTGGACTGTTGTATGTGGCCCTGTTGTAGGGGCATGTCTCTTTGTCTCTGTGTCTCTCTGTTTCTCTCTCCCGGAAGAAATGGATAAACTTTAAAAAATATATAAAATTAAATAAATATAAAGTGCAAATTTGTCTAAGTATCTCATCTAGAGAAGAACCAAAGAAAAGGTAGTGATGATCATAAATCTTTCCTAAACTGGGGGTTTAATGCCTTTGATGAAGGTGTAAGACTATACTAGATGTTACAGGTAGGATAATGTCAATCATATTATAATATGAATCTGTGATGTGGGTACTACATAAAGGACAAAGGGAACCCAGATTCTAGGTCAAAGTGTCCTTCAAACACACTTTCAGGTGGAAATAACAGTGCTATATAAGGGGGTAGGGGTGATCAGCTACCTTTGAAAGAAACATCAGAGAGAGGTGAACACTTTATGCACTAAACAAGCATACATCCTGATACCTAGAACATGAATGAGATAAATCCCCAGCCTGGATTTGGATATGTGTCCACTAATTTACAATACACAGCTAGTCAGCTCTATTCTTCATCTCTCCGAAGGTCAGGGTTAAAAACCTGAGAGTTATAGCCAGCGGTGATTGCCATACCCCTATCTTTAGGAACTACAAATTATGAATGATTTCAGCAACAGCACAGAGAATTGCTGAGCACCTGTACACACACCCATGCACACATACACACACACACACACACACACACACACCTGTTACTGATGAAGGATGTGCAGTCTTGCTCTGAACTTCATGCTCAAGTTATCCAACTCCCAAGAGTATGCACTTGTTTCTCAGCTTCTCATTAGAACACCCAGAGACATGATTCAGCCTACAACTTCTGTGGTCCTAAGCTTCCCATAGATATCAGAGAGAAAAGTTGTAAGCCAGGAGCTGACACTTCTCAACTCACCAGATTCAGAAGTGGAGATGTGGAGACCGTACTCCATCTACCAGGATGAGGGCCCAAGGGCACAGGGCACAAAGGTTTTGGTTAGAGACACAGAGTACAATAAACGAATTGCTCAGTCTTCCTCTTATTCCCTCCAGGACAGGTGCCCCAGGGCAGTGGTCTCTCAACTTTAATGTTCATCAGAATCACCTGGGGAGCTTGTTAAAGGCAGACCCAGCTCTGCCTCAAGAGATGCTCATTCATGGGGCCACTTAATTCTGAGGCAAGTGGTTCTAAGGGCAGACTGAGAAAGCATTGTCTGTGGGAAGAGTGTCAGGGTGCAAACCATGTGAATTTGACCCCAAAAGGATCTGGGGTGTAGATCTCCCTGTCAAATTCATGTTTCCTCTAGTTAGATCATAGTTTGTGATGTGGGCAAGATTTTTTTCTCCCAAATAGAAATTTATTTTTGGTTTGCTGCTTATAAAATTAATTCTTCTGCAATATGGAATTCCAAATAATACAAACACAAAAATAAAGGAGAAAGTCAAAGTACCTGATGCTTCCATTATTCTTTTTTTTTTTTTTTAAGTTTTTGCCATAAAGTGCATATGCTCACCAGAGAGAGACAGTGAGCGGCAACGTGAAAAATTACTTCCTAAGGAGTATGGCCACCCCTCAATTCCTTGCTATCTATTGGGCAAAATATTTCATTCTTTTGGTGGCTGAATAGTACTCCATTTTGTATATATTGCACATTTTCTTTTCCATTCACTGGGGTTTTATTTTAAAGAATTATTTACTTAATTTTACTTATTATTCTTGTATGTTTAAATTTGCTATAGGATATGTGTGCTCACCAGAGAGAGACAAAGACAGAGAAAGTAAGAAAGCAAGCTGCCAGGTCTGAGACTTTAGCCACAGTTGGCCACATGGTAGTACAGATCCTTCGTCACCACTTCACCTGCTGGTCCCACTTATCCATTCATCTGTTGATGAACATTAAGGCTGATTGCATATCCTGGCTAATTTGAATAGTGTTGCATTAAATATATTTATTTAAAAATTTTTATTTTTAGTCAAGCTTCTATTGAATTAAAGACTGCACAATGCCTTGAAATGATCTCTTTAATGGTTGTCTGATCAAGGCTTAAGGCTTTCAAATGTCTCCAGAAGTGTTGATTATAATGAGCCCTACTGTCTTGGCTCTTTAGTCATTGTGGCTTGCTCCTCTAAAAAGAGAAGAATCCAACAGTGAAAAATACTTGAACAATAGAGGGACAGGTTGAACTCTGCGGAAAGGGAGGAAACAGTGCCAGATTGTTTCCACTTACTTTCAGTTACTTATAGATTAGGTCAAAGATTATGGAATAAAATTAGAATAATAACAGAGGAAAATTGCTAGAACAATACCCCACACATAGATCAAATATCAAACTCTTTCTAAACAAATGATGATTTCTATCTTCAGACCTCAAGTAGACTCTAGGTTACACCATCACACACACACACACACACACACACACACCTGTTACTGATGAAGGATGTGCAGTCTTGCTCTGAACTTCATGCTCAAGTTATCCAACTCCCAAGAGTATGCACTTGTTTCTCAGCTTCTCATTAGAACACCCAGAGACATGATTCAGCCTACAACTTCTGTGGTCCTAAGCTTCCCATAGATATCAGAGAGAAAAGTTGTAAGCCAGGAGCTGACACTTCTCAACTCACCAGATTCAGAAGTGGAGATGTGGAGACCGTACTCCATCTACCAGGATGAGGGCCCAAGGGCACAGGGCACAAAGGTTTTGGTTAGAGACACAGAGTACAATAAACGAATTGCTCAGTCTTCCTCTTATTCCCTCCAGGACAGGTGCCCCAGGGCAGTGGTCTCTCAACTTTAATGTTCATCAGAATCACCTGGGGAGCTTGTTAAAGGCAGACCCAGCTCTGCCTCAAGAGATGCTCATTCATGGGGCCACTTAATTCTGAGGCAAGTGGTTCTAAGGGCAGACTGAGAAAGCATTGTCTGTGGGAAGAGTGTCAGGGTGCAAACCATGTGAATTTGACCCCAAAAGGATCTGGGGTGTAGATCTCCCTGTCAAATTCATGTTTCCTCTAGTTAGATCATAGTTTGTGATGTGGGCAAGATTTTTTTCTCCCAAATAGAAATTTATTTTTGGTTTGCTGCTTATAAAATTAATTCTTCTGCAATATGGAATTCCAAATAATACAAACACAAAAATAAAGGAGAAAGTCAAAGTACCTGATGCTTCCATTCTTCTTTTTTTTTTTTTTTTAAGTTTTTGCCATAAAGTGCATATGCTCACCAGAGAGAGACAGTGAGCGGCAACGTGAAAAATTACTTCCTAAGGAGTATGGCCACCCCTCAATTCCTTGCTATCTATTGGGCAAAATATTTCATTCTTTTGGTGGCTGAATAGTACTCCATTTTGTATATATTGCACATTTTCTTTTCCATTCACTGGGGTTTTATTTTAAAGAATTATTTACTTAATTTTACTTATTATTCTTGTATGTTTAAATTTGCTATAGGATATGTGTGCTCACCAGAGAGAGACAAAGACAGAGAAAGTAAGAAAGCAAGCTGCCAGGTCTGAGACTTTAGCCACAGTTGGCCACATGGTAGTACAGATCCTTCGTCACCACTTCACCTGCTGGTCCCACTTATCCATTCATCTGTTGATGAACATTAAGGCTGATTGCATATCCTGGCTAATTTGAATAGTGTTGCATTAAATATATTTATTTAAAAATTTTTATTTTTAGTCAAGCTTCTATTGAATTAAAGACTGCACAATGCCTTGAAATGATCTCTTTAATGGTTGTCTGATCAAGGCTTAAGGCTTTCAAATGTCTCCAGAAGTGTTGATTATAATGAGCCCTACTGTCTTGGCTCTTTAGTCATTGTGGCTTGCTCCTCTAAAAAGAGAAGAATCCAACAGTGAAAAATACTTGAACAATAGAGGGACAGGTTGAACTCTGCGGAAAGGGAGGAAACAGTGCCAGATTGTTTCCACTTACTTTCAGTTACTTATAGATTAGGTCAAAGATTATGGAATAAAATTAGAATAATAACAGAGGAAAATTGCTAGAACAATACCCCACACATAGATCAAATATCAAACTCTTTCTAAACAAATGATGATTTCTATCTTCAGACCTCAAGTAGACTCTAGGTTACACCATCGCTATTGGCTTCAGTGTAAGTCCAGCTACTGATTACATACTAATTATTCTTACATTTATGTATAAAATTTTAGGGAAGATGCAGAAAAAAATGGAGACGTAAAGACTAGGGTTTAAAAAAAACCAATAATATGGATTGAATTCAAGATGGATGCTATCTCATAGGTTA